CCTAAGGCCATTTAAAAAAAAAAAAGGAAAGAAAAAAAAAAAAAAAGAAAAGAAAGAGCCTGGAGTAACTGCAGCCGGTGGGGCGGTGGGGAGAGGTGGAAGAGGAGCCTCCCACTCCGGATCCATCTCCCAACACCACGCCTGGGTGAAGGGATGGGAAGCACTGCCATGGACAAGAAGAAAGATGCCTCCAGCAGCAGCAGCAGGAAAAGCTCCAGCCAGAAGAAACTCATGTTGCGAGTGCACATCCCCGTAAGTGGCTTCTGGCTCTTCGTCCCCTCTGGCAGCTGGCGCGGCTAGGGCGCGGGGGTATGTTTTTCTCTGACCTGTAGCGCAGTGAAAGGCAGGGAAGGGAGTTCTCTGCCGCGGAGGTTTGAGGGATGCTGCTGGGCTGGGGGGTGCAGCCGGTGCAACAGGCAAGTCCGTCCCCCCCCGATCTGGGCGTGGTGGGTTGGAGCACGGGGGGGTCCCCTGGGCTCTGTCTCCCCCCGAGGGGCGGGATGCTCAGGGTGTAGTGTCTTGGCCGTGGCACGGAGGAGCGAGGGTAGCTCTGGCTGCACCGCTGCTCCCCTGCCCTGGGCTGTGGGCTCCGTTCCGTATGGCTCATCCAGTTCACACGCAGTCTCAGGACGGTGAAGGAGAAGGTCTGTTCCCCCCCAGATGCCTGTCTCAACATCCCCAGGTTTGGCTCTGGGAACTGTCCGTGCCTTGTGGCTGAATCAGAGTGTTTAATCCGAACTCTTCCCCTCTCTCTCTCAAGACTAATCCACATCTGAATTTCCCAGGGTCGGGGAACCCCGAGCTCGCTCGGATTTGGACACAAGCAGTGTGTTTATTGCCGAAAGAGCAGGGTCAGTTGTTTTGCCGTGGTGGAGCAGGGCAGTGAGCCACGCAGTCTGTTCACTGGCTCTGTTTTGTTTTGTGTATTCACGCTCTAAAGAAACACGCAAGAAACTGTAATATATAGATACAAAACAACCTCAGACCAAAAGTTTCTCTCTGTTCCCAGTGAGTACTAAAAGGCTGGCTGGCTCTGCCTTCAGAGTTTATACACCTTTCAAAACTTCGATTACTGTTTTTCTTGCTATTAGGACATTCCTGTTATCTGTTTTTATTCTCAGTCCCGATGTGCTTTTCGTTTCAGTGTTTCTGGTGAGAAATGGCAGAGTCCCTGTATCTTTTTCTGTGAGATCTATTTTTCTACTTATTTTTTTTAAATCTCATTATATAAAAGTGGGAAGCAGTCCTACATGTGTCTCTGCCAGGCCACCAGGGAGCAAAAAGATACTTCTGGTTCTAAGTTTTTCCTTTGTTTGAGGGAAGAATAAGAAGTCAAAGCAAATTTATTAGGTGTCTTGAATGTGTGGAATAAAATGGAGAAGTACATGGCCCTTCTGCAGATTTCATTTTTCTCTGGAGAGGAATGCAAGCCCAAGAGCCTAAGCCAAACTTCTGGAGCTCTGAGTGCATCCAGTACTAGGAGAAAAGGGTCTGTTTCTGCTAGCATGGGTGTTGCCTGTGCATCTGTGACTGGAGTTTTTAGGCAATAACCTTTGCCATGTTACCAGTAATACTTCACAACAGAGATGTAAAATGCCAAGAAAATAAAATGTCCCACACCAAAATGCCACTCACTGTGTGCACCTTATTCCTTTCTACACTGCCTGCTGCACTGTCTGTCATCTCTTTCCATAGCCACCCCATCTCTGACTCAGTCCAGCCAGGAACTTCTCTGCAGCTGGATCTCCACCTCTACTCCAAGAAGTTGCATTTTCTGCTTGCTGAAGAGCCATAGGTGGCTTGGGAGGTGTTGTGGTTGCTGCAGGATTTTACAGGATCTGTCTGGTACTTCTGAAATACCTTCCAGCCACCAGATAACTCTGACCGCACCAGTACTTACAGTAATTTTCCCCATTTTATGAAGCTAAGGTGGAAAAAGTGCTTAAGTAACTTGTTCACACTTAAGCATTATTGACAGAGGAAGGCTAATACTTTTTCCTAATTGCCTTCCTAAGCCCACAGGCAACCTTTCTTCCTGAGTGTTGCCTTAGTTCTGTCTTGGATGGAACATCATCAGTAGCAGGCCATAATTTTTCATGTTCATTAGTTTCTTGGCTTCTTTGCTATGCATTTTGTCATCTAGGTAGTGGTAGCTATTCAGATACAAGCCTGCAAATGCCTGATACTTCACTAAGTTGATGTGAGTTTCATTGTTCACCCAGTTGGAAGCAATTCAGTATTTGATATTGAGGTAACATCTTCCATCCTTCCTCTCCATCCCCAGTATATGATCCTTCTGTTCCATTCTGCATCATTCTAGCATTCCTGGAATGGGCTATTGGGCCCAGGATCTTTCAGGTTGTACTCACATTTTTGGTGGGTTTTTTGTTATCTGGCAGAGTTTAAATATGGCTGTGCTATAAGAAAGAACATTTTTCTCATTCTCCTCATTTGACAGTGGAATCTGCATTTGAAAAGATCCATTTAGACTGTTTTTTTTTCTCTTTCATAACGTTTTCTTGGCTGTTGTTTTGAAGCATCATTCCTATTATTTCAGTGGCGCCTGTCAGTGTAGCTGTAGTTGTCAAGGGAGCTTTCACCAGACAGTAATTTTTATTTTGTTCATCCTCTTTGTGTTGCTGTGAGATCATGTTTATTGCTGAGACATGTAATTCTTGCTCATTGAGATTTTCAAATTAGGAACAAGAGAAGTACTAACAAGGTCTGAGTAGGAAGGAGAGAGGAGTCAATTCTGAAAGAGAAAGCATTGGGACAGAAGGGTACTGTTTTGATGCAGGCTATCCTAAAACATATTTATTAGTCATGTAGAAATGCTGGCTGAAAAAGTAATGACAAACACTGTGGAAAAAAAAAAAAAAGTGAATAATGCAAAATATGCTACAATTAGGTTAGAAGACTGTGGAATAATAGGCATGTCTGAAAAGAAAGTTGTATGCTTTTTTTCCCTCTCCCACATAGTTCTATTTTTTGGGTTTGTGACAGTGAAGAAAAAATGGATCCATTTAAGAAAGCTGGTTTTGTGTCTTGCAACACTCTGAGGCATTTCTCAGGTACATATTTCTGAAGCAAGAACAAGGCATGATAGAGAAAGTCTGGAAACACTCTATTTTCACCTTCTTTCTGTGCTTAATCTCCTTCAGCACAAGTGGGTGGTGTCCAACCCTTACTTCTGGGAATAGTGGTAGACCACTAAGTTCCTGCCAGCTGGGTTTCCTAGCTGCTCTCAACTTGTCATTCAGTAGCCAAGAGTAAAGTGGGGGCCACTGTATTCTGTTAGCATGTGAGGGAAGTATTTGATAAATTGCTGGACTGATTGAACAACTTTTTTTTTTTTGTTTGGTTGTTGTTTTCTTTGCAAATACACAACTGATAAACATGCTAGTAATTTAGATGGACCATAATATAATTGCAGGAGCCTTTGTAAAGTAGAGGTCATATCACCCAACACCTCTTTCCCAGCAGCACATTCTGGAGTCTTGAAATTAGAGATGCCTAAATGGAAATTTCTGGTCCAAATATCTTTGAAAGCTGCTACAGATTTTGATAGAAACCTTTGCTCTCTAGATGCATCACATCTGTATTATGGAGACATTAGCGTTATAAAATTCCTTTTTAAGCTATTAAAAGTTAATACTTGCACATTGCTTTGAACATTTTAAAAACTCTGTTGTAAGATGGGAGACAATTGTCTGCTGAGTAGGAGCTCCCAGCAGTGAGATCAGTATGTTCTTTTGTCATCTTGCAAAATCGATCTGTTCTAATGTTAATGTTACCATTGTAATCCTGTGTTGCAGCAAAAAAAAACAAACAGGAGAGGTTCTGCTCTTGCTTACTTTGAATTTCATCTGGGATAATTCAGTCAGTGCCAGCAAAGTTATGTTGTATTTACACTAGTGCAACTGAGGGCAGAACCTGTCTCAAGAGCTTCACCATGGCAAATGCCAAGCACCTGCTGCTCCCAGCAGGTGGAAATTGCAGAACCTTGGCACTTCCTTGGATTTTTCCCAAACGCATCACTTTTTATTCAAAAGAACAAAGATTTTTTTTTCACAATAAGGAGAAAAATAACATCTCCAAAAGAGTATAAAAACATCTTTCAGTTCAGTGAAGCGGCTGTTGCCTCTGGTACTTCAGCCATGAGAGCAGAACTGATGCACTGGAAGGATGCTCTCAGAGACCATGATCCTTTATTCAGTGTCATACAAACAAACATCTCTGCACACTTTCTCCCATTTCTTTGTCAACCTCTATGATTTTGAACAGTCTCCTCAATGTGCAAATTTATTGCTGTTTCCAGGCATGTTGTTATGTCAGGATGCCAGGCTGAAACATCAGATGGCTTAAATATTTCTAACCCGATAAGACGACAATGATGTTCTGACAGCCAGTGCTGGCTCAGGCTCTGCCCCTCCATCTTGCTTTCCACACTTGCAAAGTCATCAGTGGCTGCATGCCTAATAAATCACTGTGAAATTATTTTGTTCTGTCATGGTTTTTGCAAGGTGCTTCTTGTCTCCAAGTAATTGCTGGGTGGGCTAATAAGAACAGCACTTTGGTCTACAGATCACTGTAGGATGCTGGAGATGAGGAATAAGATGGTCAGTTCTTTCAAAGGAGTTGAGGGGATCAGCTTTCAATGTGATTTAGGAATGACAAAATGTTTGTTTTCTTGGGAGAAGAAGGTGGAGGGAGAGGGAGAAAGAGGAGAGAGAAATGTTTCCCTAAAATTAAATCTGTAACTGTTCTCCCCCTTGCTTTCATAGGGCAGACTCTGAGTTTTCCTGAGCTTCTGTGGCCTTGGAGTTTAAATCTGGGTTCTTCTGTAAAGAGCTGATATATTAAGGATCTGAAAGGGCAAGAGGTATTTGCTCAGGGGTGTTGAGATTGCACTTTGCATCTATCTGAAGGAAGAAAGAAAGGATTCATGTCTGCAGTCATAATAGCTGTCATTGGTATTAAGGAAGCTTAAAGGCATAACACAAACTGATCATCAGGTTATTGAAAAGTGCTGATCTTTAAAACATCACTTTTTGTGGTAGGAAATTTTGCTCCTAAATGGTCTTGTCCAAACTCCTTTATTTATACCTGTGAGCCTATGAGGACTGTGGGCTCAGAGGAATGTGAATTTCCTTGGAAGAATAAGTCATGAATGTGGAAGGAACCTCATGGAAATGTGGATGGTGAGACTTTTGGCCTCAGGGAAGGTTACTCGCACTGTGCTTGTATTGGGC